AAATTTAAGACTTTTTAAGACCTTTTTAAGGTCTTAATTTTAGATATGTAAATTTAAGACTTATTAAGACTTCTTAAGACCTTTTTAAGACCTTTTTCAGGTCTTAATTTTAGATGGTAAATGGTAAATGGTACTTAATATTAGATATGTAAATTTAAGACTTTTTAAGACTTTTTAAGACCTTTTTAAGGTCTTAATATTAGATATGTAAATTTAAGACTTTTTAAGACTTTTTAAGACCTTTTTAAGGTCTTAATTTTAGATGTGTAAATTTAAGACTTTAAGACTTTTTAAGGACCTGCGGACACCCTGTAAAAGGTTACAGAGTAGGAAGTACGGATTGGAAAGGTGGGGGGACATACGTATATTGTATCTGATATCGTTATCACAATAATTACAAATATTATCGCCATCAAGATTTTCTAATGTCGTGCATCTCCGAGACATAACTCTCCATCTTTACCTTTTGTCAGCAAAAATAAATAAAATCAAAGTAGGTCAATTTCCTTATTGCCTTATTTTAAGAAAATGATTATAGAATAATATGGAATTATGCTATGTAACTGAGAACAGCATAATAAAACTCCTTAAGTTCTGTTTAGACGTTAGGTTTCGTTCTGCCGCTCCATAATTCTCAGGCCAACATTTGATTTTTAAAAACCTTCTCCTGGAACCAGTCCAGGACCACGGAAACCAAACAACCCGAACCAGGAGAACTGGAGCTAATAAACCAGACATTAGGATTAACCTACAGATTACCATACTTTAATGTTATTTATTTTTGTAGAGTAATTTCTTCTTGAAGTTGGCTCTGACCCGTACATCACTGTCCTCGCTCTCTGCGTCTCCTAACCTTGCTGTAACCTGATAAGTCTGTAATTGAAGTGCCATAAATGAGAGAATGGACTAAAGCAGGGGTGTCAAACTCCAGTCCTCGAGGGCCGCTATCCTGCATGTTTTAGAGGTTTTCTTGCTCCAACACACCTGATTTTGATCGCTGGGTGATTAACAGGCTTCTGCCCAATTTGAAGAGTTAATTCAATCACTGAATCAGGTGTGTTGGAGCTGGAAAACCTCTAAAACATGCAGGATAGCGGCCCTCGAGGACTGGAGTTTGACACCCCTGGACTAAAGCATGAATGCAAACAACTCATTCGTCTGTCTGAGGTTCACCCATCCTCCTCATCCTCCTCTTTCCCCTTCATCCCTATCTGCCCTTCTTTTAAAATCCATTTATAATCCATCACTCTGTCCTCCTT